CTCTCTCTCTCTCTCTCTCTCTCTCTCTCTCTCTCTCTCTCTCTCTCTCTCTCTCTCTATCGCCACGTCGTTTCGCTTTCCCCGTTGAAAGCGAGTCGCTCTATGCAGTCGCCGGCAATCGCGTTACTAGAAGACTGATCGAATGGGAATAGTCGCGGAATCGGAGGATAGTAAGAAAGACAGATGCGAATGGAATAGGATGGGATTGGCCGGAACAAGGGATGCTCCAAACCGGATCGTGATGAGGGAAGAAGAACAAATAGGTATACTCACCCTGGTTGCTTTTCCTGGATCGCTTTTTGCGCAACTCCTTGCGATCCTGCACCAATCCTAATTCCAGAAGCTTTTCCTTGATCTTCGGCTTTGGTCGCTTTATTCTAAGATCGGTGAAAATCAAATCCACGGGATCTGTTAGACACAGTAGTTTCGATTTTTATAGCGTCGTCAGAAAGTTGAACGAGTGATAGGGAGGTTTCGTAAGAGAACCGTGGGCGAGAGAAAGTCGAGACGACTGTCGGAGACTCGGAAATTTTGAAGGGATTTAAAGTTAAATCAATTAGAGCTTACGAAGGGACACGGGAGGACTTTATTTTACGTCGAAATGTATTTATAAGTCAATTGGATGTCCCTCTTTACATACTTATACTTAATTTAACTTCTCGAAAGATTATAAGGTATTTTACGTATAAACGCGATTCTGATATTAAGAGTAAATTCGTGTTCGTAAAATTTGTAATGAAACAAATTCAATTTAAAAAAGAATTATCTCTCTTTTACGACATGACATTTTGTGAATATTTTTGTCTGCCCGTTGGGAGTGGTTGGCAGTGCTAAGGTTAATAACCGCGGAGTAAGATCACGGCAGAATATAAAACACTTTACGGAAATTTTTTAAGAGAAGGCAAAGAAAAAATGCCCTTGACATTTTGTGGACATCTGAGAATTACGTTTGGCGTGGAAGCGACTTCGGAGATTAAAAGTTATGGAGAGCGGTGGATTCGTATGAAAATGAAACAAGTTTTACAAGACTTCTCTGAAAATGTCTCTGTCAGGAAGGATATTATTCTTCGTTCGTCCCAACGGATTCGAAATTATTACTACAAGCAGCCAAGCGTGTCCGATGTTCGGAGCTTAATTAAATCCTAGGAATCGTTCCAGTGTTAACGAATTCTCGCACGAATTTCGCATTCGCGAAATATTTCAACAGTTTCGGAACGTGAATAACCGGTTAGAATTAACGCTGAAATTTACGGCAAATTTCTATCGCGGAAATTTATATCGGGAATTGGGTTAAGGCCATTTTTGGCGCGTATGATTCGCAGATAAATTATAAATTACGATAAATGGCAATTACTACAATATGCTGTTAAGTTTTCCAGAAATTTATATTACTATCGTCGAGTTATAAACTTCATTCTTTGTTTCATTTACTGATGATTAATAATTGCAATTAACTTCAATAATAAAAATTAAAATATGAATAAATGAAGGAAACTTCTGAAGTCAATTGTCCAATAAAATTTATACTTTTAAAAAATAGAAAAGAAATTAAGAAATATCATCAGAAATTAGCCTGAAAAAAATAAATTTAAAAAATTACCATCATCGTCTTTGAACTGTGTCCAAAGTTCTGTAAGCTGGGCGATTTCTTCTTCAGACCACTCTTTAGGTAATCTCTTTTGCACCTCAGCTCGCACGCCCTAATTAATTATGAGATTTAAGAAAATGGGTTAGATTACGTACGTCGTTCGTAATGGAAAAAGATTAAAATATTTTAAATCCACTGAAAATTTCCGTAACATTAAACAATCATTCTTAAATTTTTTAAAATTGAGAAAGTTACCAAAATATAGTAAAGTAAATTTTGTACTTAATATTGATATTCGGCGGTACTTCGATATTGTAATTAACCGGATACTCGGCTTTAATTACAGCAAAGGCTCGATAAATATCTTTATAAATATATATATATATATATATATATATAAATTAACACCCAGCTATTCATCAACCCTTATATATAATCTTCTCGGAAGGTACTTTGCGTGCGCATAATCTCCAGGCTTGATGAGACAAAGCGTTCCATGTATAATCTTTGGAGAAGTTTCTAAGTCAGTAGGCATATTTAAAAAGAAGAAGCTAGATCGCTCGTTTTCCAGCGATTACGCTCCACCCTCAGCGAAACGAGGTCTCTAAATGACCGTCAGAGCAATATCGTGACTTCCACCGACTAAATGAATGTCAAATGAATACTCGGCTGTAGTCTCTACTTCGACCGTACTCTCTTCGTTCAAAGAGACGAAACGTACTCACGCATGAAATTATTTAAATGAAACGCTTCCGTAGCTAAGCCTTTCCATAGGAAGGTCTTGCGAAGAAATCGATAATACGGTGGAAGAAACGTTTCCGTCGACGTAGCCACCCTCTTTTCGCCAGTGACTGCACGCTTGTGATTAATAGCGAATTAAGGCCGGAGGGGAAATAAATTTTTTTTTTCTCTTCTCGATCACGACTGGTTAATGTCGTGAAACATTATCGAAAAATTAATCATACTCCATGCTCGATTTTTTTCGACAAAACAATTATTCACGTCAAATATATTTCACTTAAACAAAATAAAATTTCAATAAGCTGGGAGGCATATAGTTTAATAGTTTGCACGGTCGACAGCATTGTTTTAAATAGCTTTGTTTTAAAATAATTATTATAAACTGCCATTGTAACGTGCCAAAAACGTCTTCTGAGTGAACAAAACTTTTTGCTAAATCTCTTATGTTACGTTTCATCTACAAAAAGCGTAGCGGAATGAGATACAGTATTGTGTATTGCATCGCTTATCCTCTTCGCTATGCTTTTTTCCCTCTCTTGTTAGAAGCTTCCCTACAAACTCAATTAATTTCAAGTTTTAAATAAGCCGGTAACTAGTTAGTAACTCCTCTGCCGCAATAAGAAGCTTGATTAACGCATTCCCATGCTTTATCACCGTATTGCACCGTGTATTTTCAGAAGAAAAGAGTTATAACGAAGGAAAAAAAGAATGTTTCCAAGCTTAGTAAGATTAATATACTTCTCGGAAATGTTTCTTTAGGAAATATTAATGATTCAAAAAAATAACATAGTATTAAATTCTAAGGCTAATTAAACATCAAATATTCCTAAGATTATAATGATTCTACTGTAATAAGTTTATGCTAAATTCTTTATAAATTAAATGAAGTATTTCAATTCAACCTTCGCTATCGAAACAAAAGTTATAGAATACCAGTTCATAACACGCGCATTTACAGTTCAACAAACATAACAAAGCGCTTGAATCATGTTCCCTTCGCGTTTTCATAGCCCGAAGGGTGATGCAAATGTTTATACGTATGTTGTAAGGTAGAAGGCAAACAAAACGATAGCTTTTCTCGAAGAAACCACCGGTTTTAGGGTCGCTAAAGTTGACGAAGGGGTCGCATACAGATATTTTCCATACTCAGAAAAAGACTCTGGTAGAAGGAACACGCAGTTCGTGTCGGAAAGCTCACGCAATAGTAGAAGAAAGAGAAACGAAGAAACGAGGGTAGAAAGTCTCACTCCGTAGAAAGGTATTGTCTCCGGAGAATTTACAGTTCCTGCAGCAATTCCCGGCTCCATTTTTTGCATATGTTCACCCCGTCAACGCGAAGGCAGAAACTTATTTTCGAAGCCGGGCAAATGGTCCCTCTCCATCCTTCCAAAAGATTCTCGTAAATCATTGATCTTGTCAGACAAAGCGCAACGAGGATTGCCGCAGGGCACATGGATGAACCATGTTACTTTTTTAGCGAAGATACAGAAATTTGTTTACTGAATCTTTTAAAGCTGTTTCTCCAAGAAAGAAATATTAGGTTAAAATAAATAAATTATTATCAGAAAAGATTCGAGATTGCTTGTTACCTTTAGCGTCTACATATTATAAAGAACTACATTATATTTGTGAAAAAAAAGTAAACTAACCTTAGAATTAACGATCAAGCACATCTCCTTGAGTTTCTTAATGATGGTACGTCGTGTTCTATTTTCATTGATGACATGATCCAATAGCCAATCGATTAAATCTACAAATTTATAATAACATTATAATTATCGCATGAGTGATCCAGTTTAGAAAAATGGAAAGATATTTTTGTATTGATTTAGACAATAATAACGATTAAATGTTAAAAAAATATTAATTAAACAATGCACTGAATTACTCTTACCTTGCATCCTTGTCTTTTGTTTATTGCATAATAAAAAGCTTTGTATTTTGGACACGTTCTCGTAAAGGGCACTAATTTATCGAGTTCAACGATGTGTGTACGAGACTTCTCCGTGAGAAATAGACGATATAAAGAGTTTACCTTGAGGATATTTGTTAGTCTGATGCTCCATGAAGAGGGTACGTAGCTCGTCCTCTTCCGCTTCCGTCCAGGTCGCTCGTGAAACTTTCTTGTTAGTCGTTTCCGCGTTGTAACCATCCACGATTTCTGTCGCGTCGCGGGTAGTCTTCCAGAAGAGTAACTCCATGTACGACTTCCGGTTCTTCTGGGCGACTTCGATGAAACGGCGGATTATGAAGACCGCGAACTTTTGGAGCTCCTAAAGCAAGAATCGATTTTTCTGCTGCTCAACGAATCCACTTCTGTGGACCATTAAGCCCGATACAAGGATGCAATAAAAGCTTGCTGGTGAAATTTATTGCACAGTACAAGAAAAGAAAAGAATTTTTATCACTAGCTAAGAAATCATCTTATCTATTCTTATATTCGAAAGGCGATTAAGTGTGACATTGCAAAGAAAATTTTTTTTTGTCGAGAAAAATATTGAATTGAATAATAAACGAATCAAAAAACAATTTTAACAATTTGGCAAATTTATAAAACATATAAAGTGTAATTATTATAGTTAGTTAAGTGATTTATTCTGTATATCCTATTACCTTATGTGCAGGATCCTTTGACTCGAGGATTCTTTGAAAAATCCGAAATATGGATGCTTGAAATATCATACCCGGCATTTTACAATTCCAAGCAATTCGATGTAGCATTTTTGTAACGTAGTGATTAAGTTCGATTGTGTTGTTTTCGAATTGTTGCATTAGTAGTGTTAAAGCCTTGACGACCTTCACATTGGCGAACCTTCGAATAATATGTCATTTTTACAAAGATGTTATTTATGTTATTTCATCGCGTACAGAAGATCTTGATTCATTGAATCAGAATTTCTTTTTAAAAAAATCGCAGCAAAAGAACTTGAAAAGCGCAAATAGATAATAAAACCTTATTTTTGTTCGATTTTAAATAAAGCTTTAGACAAAGCTTTTTAAGAATTGAAATTAAAAAATCAAATTTTTCTTTGAGATTTGTTTAACCAAAATAATTAATGTTAAAAAACAAATTGTTAAAAAATGAACAAACAATCTATAAGTAAAAGAATCTTTAATTTATAGACTGTTTAATCAATTTTTTTATATGTTTAACAATGTTTTTTAATATTAATTATTTTGATTAAATGAATCTCAAAGAAAAATTTGATAGAACATTCTATTATTATACTATTATCGCACCTTTGAAGAAATTCATCCAATTTAAAGTTAATTTCTTGGATAACAGTTTCTCTTTCTTCTTCTTCTTCATCTTCATTCTCTTCTTCCTCATCTATATCAAAAAGTTAACATATATACGTGTGTGTGTGTGTGTGTGTGTGTGTGTGTGTGTGTGTGTGTGCGCGCGCGCGCGCGCGCGCGCATGCGTGCGTGTATACACATATAAAATATGTAAATTAAGTATTAATATTTTAATAAGAAATTTGATGTTTATTTACTTTCTTGATGGTTTTCAGAATTTTCAATGTCTTCATCCGCATTTATCGTTTCTTGAATTTGCTCTTCTATCACTAAAAATAAGATACTTTTGTTAAAAAAAAAATATATCTAAAAAACTCTTTTGATAACTTAACTATTACTAATCTATTATTTATTCAAGACTCTTTATCTTTATTATATTCTGCAAATTTTGAAAATAATAATAATTTCGATATGTAAATCGGAATACATAAAAATTCCTTAAAAATACATCGCGAAACATTTTAAATCATTGTGAAAAGTTTCCTCTGAGCACAAGTTGTTGCCCTAAAGAAAGCTTCCCACCGCCCGAAGAATTCAGTTTGTCCAAGTGATGGTGACGGTGGTGCTATTTCAGCTTAAAGTTTTAATTGTCTCTTCTCCGCGGTCTGCTCAACTCGAAACAGTAATTCGAGATAAAATAAAGCGCTCGTCCGACCTGTGTCGTGTTTTTATCTCGGATTTTTAAATGTTTCATCCCCGTTGATGTATTAAAAGTGTTAAGGAAACTTTTGATTTATCAGCATGGAGTATACATAC